TCTCTGCTTTTCTGTCTCATTCATATGCTGAAAATGTTCAGTGACTCATATAGCATACACGGAGCAGTAAAGTACTTATCAAACAATCCACCCGCAGTGTGCAGGAATCAATGCTTTCTCTTGCTTCCTTTTCAAACTGATTTTCCCTGTTTCAAAACAACATCCTTTCTTTTCAGTTTATCCCCCCTTCTAAAAATGTTTTTATATTCAGTATCCACTTTCTTTATGTCAGCATTTCTCTCAGTCCGCATTGTCCTTCCTCTCCATTCTGCGTGTATCTCACATTTGACCTTAAATCATTTCAATGGAAGTTTTGATTTCTACAGTGTGTGTGTGTATGTGTGTGTTTTGTAGGCATGACTAAGGTGGAGGAGAAGCTGAAGGCGGGCCGTGTGAAAAAATCAGAGGGGAGTGGGTTCAGTGAGGAGCCCCAGAGAAGACCTTCTTCAAGTCAGTCGTCCAAGAAAGATCCAGCTACAACCAGCTCTGGTGAGCTTTTTGGGTTTATGGAAATCGTCTCAAAAGCGATTATTTCTATATTATCACATGCTAAAACAAGCATATAATCTAACATAGGGAATGAGTACACAAATGGAAATGTAATACCCACGAGACAAAGTACCAGCTATATGTGATCAGCTATCTGACAGAGACTTCCTGTTTCCTCCTGTTGCTAAGGTGCTGACACCCAATGGCAGCGAGCTATCCACGATCGAGGTGAAGTGGTGTGTCCCACCTGCTCCATCGTCACCAGGAAAACAGTCCACGGCCTCAAGAAACACATGGAGATCTGTCAGAAGGTCAGTGGGTCACAAAGCTGTCAATCAGCCTGGGAGCTGTGATAACTTCTGATAGACCTCGCTGTGAATCTGAAAAAAACGATATCCTATCAGACAAGTTAATACAATTCCAAGACGCACACACAGTACAAGCATACCTCCACTGCATTTACTCTTAGAGGAGCGTGTCTACTGAAAATGTCAACCAGACATGAATGCCTTAAATATCAAACCGTCATAATCTTACATTTGTACAGTTCCTGTGTAAATCAGGATCCAGTAACATGTGACACTATGCAATACACATGATGTGTTAATCTATGGCAGCCAATTTGCATAAAGCCTCAGTGAAATCAATGTCTTATATAGATTAAAAACAGTTTAGATATTTTCCTTAAGCGCGTTTGTAAGTATGAAATAAAGCTCTCTCAACCCAAAACTGTCATTTCCACATTGGATTATAACTTTGAGTGCGCCGTTATAAGATACCCCTCCCTGAGTCTAGGGAGCCTTTACAGTAATGATATTGATTTGAAAGCTGTTGAAATAACATCGGGCAGTATCACAGTACAGTAATCTCAACCATGTTTCCCATGTAATATCCTTTACTCATCTGCTCTCCTATGAAAGCTAATATCACTTGAAATGGGTCGAGGGAGAAGAAACGGTGCACTTCTGCGGTTTGTTTGTTTGCACTGAATGGTGGTCTATAGCAATTATAAACGAGAATGTTGGAAATAAGGATTAAGTTCATCCAAGTGCATTATATTGAGTTTTACTGAAGACAAACCAACCTCTCGGGGCCCTCAGAGAGACGTGTTCATACAGCCACTTTAATGGCTCCTTGGCCCACTGGCCCGTGTGACACCATTAAAGTGACAGTGTGTCGTAAAGCAGTGACAGAATCACCACATTACAGCTGGGTCACTCACCATAAAAACCACTCTGTCTCCAAATCAATACTGAGGCCAGGAGAGTCATCTACGACAAGGAACACTTGGTGTAAAATTGGCTTTTTTAGTCCCAAAAGTTGCATTTGTCTTGACCAAAAATGTCATGCCTCTATTAAGTTACAGATATAATGTTTTGCTCTACTGATAGATCTAATATAGAGCATAGCCTGTAATAGTGGGTAACTTGTTATTTGATCCTGTGTACTTGTTATTTGGCCTTTACCCCCCGCAGCTCCAGGATGCTCTGAAGTGCCAGCAGTGCCACAAACAGTTCAGGTCCAAGGCCGGCCTCAACTACCACACCATGGCTGAACACAGCACCAAGGTACGGAGCGCTCAGAGAGCTAATGTTTCACCGCTGTCACACTGACCCACTAAACGAGTTGTTAGTTATTAGACACTACAGCAAAGCACTACACACATTCAGGAGGCGACACACTTACACTTGTGACTCTCGTATGGAAATCCACCGTACGCTACAGCAAGTGTCAGTTTTCACCGTGTCTAGTGATTGGTGTCTTGCCTTTTGATTCACACATACGAATGAAACCACATTAAATGAGTTATATTACATTTATCTGGTGCGTATTCATTGTGGGTTCTAAGCCCGTCTCTAAAAATCTCATCTTGAGGTTTGTAAACGATCAAACATTTGAACTGTTCATGTTGATGGCCCTTGAAGTGCTCACGTTTCTGTCTGCAGCTGTCTTAACTCCGACAGCAAAGAGCTTCATTAAGATATTATCATGACGCTCCTGCATTAGAGCAATGGCGCTGCTATGAAGTTTGCTAAATTATTCAACACTGCCTTGTTCGGAAAATTCCATGGAAGATTAATGAACGTACGTGCACCAAACCTTCTACCACATGTGTTTTTGTGTGGTAACGCTTTCCAATAGTTTATGATAATAGGGCATATGCATGTATGTGTAAGGGGCTTTGTCTGTGTATGTTTATCATTTGAATAGTGAAGATAGATGACTGTACCATGTTCGACATCATCATTTGTCTTCAGTCTGGACCTTTGGTGGCTGTTTACCTTCTTGGCGGCATTCCAACTGAGAAAAAGCTAATCTCTCAGTGTGTAAAAACTAAGGTACTCTTCCTCAGCAGACTTCCCAGCAACATTTCTCATATTAGGTTATTACAAACGTTTGTGACAAGCTGTGCCGTCTGTGATTGTGCTCCAGACTCAAGTAGCTGCTGATTAGAGAAGGCTTTCATCATTAGCAGGTTTCACTTGTGTCATTCTCTTCTTTTTTCTCTCTTCTATCAACAAGAACTTTTTAAACGGCAGTTCATTCAAAAGCAAAAACCTAGAAGAATCAGACGCATCTTAAAACATATCCCTCTTAGAATCTAGGTGGAATTGTTTACTTTGTTTTCCAGTAGGATGTATGCTGTCCTACTGTGACGTATGAGCAATGTGTTTGGGCTCATGTTTGCGAGCAAGTTAGGCATTGTATTTATAAAGTATATTATTAAAAGCATTGAAATGTATGAAGAAGACAGTTATTTTGAGTTTTTTTATTGGTGTAGAGCAGGGGTGGGGAACCTTTTTCGTCTCAAGGGCCATTTCAATTTTTCCAACATCCTCCGAGGGCCGTACAAATGATTGACCTCTGCTTAAAAATACTAAAATCACAGCCCATTCATTCGGCCTTTCTTTCATGCTGTGCAAAGAAAACGCAACCTCTTAATCCAGATATCTTACCATGACTCATGCATGCACGTGCACGGTTGTGGCATGACCACCCAAACAGAAATATATGGACACAAGATGTGTGCAAATGTATTTAGTTTCCTATGTGGACATGATTTAAGTGGGGACCTAACCTAGGGGGGTGTTCTCCCCCAGGAAGATTTTTTTTGAAATGTTGAAGTTAAAAGCATCAATCTGGTGCACTTTGAGAGCAACATTAAGAGGGAAACATCTCTCAACACCCAGATGAAACAGAACTGTAAGCAGATTTTCTTTTTCTTTATGGATATTTTACAAATCACTCCCCTTTCAAACTGTATTCTTGTTTATCAATAACAACTTTTTTTACTGTCATATAGTATTTTTTGCCTGTTTACTTTATTCTCTTATTTTTTTATAAGTATAATGATCAAGATGAGCCTTTAACTCACTGGTTGTAGAACAAGCTTCTTATATTCGTTAGCATAGCTAGCTAACCAGATGCTAATAACAACACAGTTATTGACTTTATGATTAGTATGACAGATGAACGGACCACTGGGCTTTCAACTAAAGACACAGACACGCAAAAACTGCGGCATGTGAACGGCTCCTTATGGGTACTGCAATTTGTGGAAGTGGCAGAGCCGCCGGAGCGGCGTTCTGGTGCTCTCCGTCAGAACTGCACCCCTGTCAGACGAGACATATACCACGTGATGACACGTTAGGCTCGTGATGTGTTCAAGGACCCTGACCTTGGCCAGGAAAAACAGGCACTCACTTTTTTAATTTTTTTGCGGTCTAGATTTCTTTAATTTGTTTCTTTTTTGCGTATGTTTATAAATTACCTTGAGGGCCGTAGCGAAAGGTCTCGCGGGCCGAATACGGCCCGGGGGCCGGAGGTTCCCCACCCCTGGTGTAGAGACATTTATTTGTGTGGCCACAGTACACAACAAGTGATATGCTTGGTGAGATATGCTTTTGAGAACCTACAATGTGTGTTATTCCTGTAAATACACTAAGATATTGTATTCTCCAGTGTTCCAATCAGTTGCTACAGCATCATTATATCGGTAAATCAACGTGTTTATGTACTGGGAACTGTAAACAAATACCTTACTGAATTATTTGTGCTTGTTTTCATTGACTAAGTCTCTCTCTTTGTATCGTTTCTTTGAAAAGCAGGTTTACTTCAACCTTGTTTAAGCTTTGCTATGATTTCACTTGGCGTTTGCACTCTCCCTGGCTCCAATGTGTTGTCAGTGTAGTCACGTGGCACAGCCCAAGTGCAGTGTGGGAAAAATACAGAGAGCACAGGGGTCACCTTTTGAGTTTGACCTTGCAGTTTCTGCCCTGATCCCCTTTGCTCTTTTGCTGTCTCTGATGGAGGCATTAAGAATACATGCTGATGCAGTTTGATGTGCCCTCCTCCTGCCAGTGTAAATCAATGGCTGAGCTGGTGTCTGTTCTCTTACCTCCAGGCATGAGCTGTATTTATTTGAAGTGTTGAAGTACTCTTATCTCCAATATCTCCTCTCCTTCTTACCCTTCCAGAAAGGTTGTGTCTCAGTCATGTCAGTGCTTTCTTTGTGTGTCGACATGTAAGAAAACACATGAAGTCCTCTCCACTGGGACTCCTCACTAAGGCCAGACTCTCCACAGTCCTCTGCACTTTCTGCTTTCTTCTCCCTGGCAGCTCTGCCATCTGTTGTTCTGGTCTTGGCTGGGGTTTGGCACCAGCCGACACTCGGGTGAAAACACGAGTTTGACAGTTGTCATAAACATGCCTTGAGTAACAGCCTCACCATTTAGTGATCCTGGCACAGTGAGAACAACCCGAGATGGAAAACACATTCTCCTCACAATTTTGTTCAAAGTCAGGAGGGATGGGGAAGTGTTGTGGTGCGACACGCTTATGCGTCGTTGTGTTTGTTCCCCCGCAGCCCTCGGGGAGCGAAGGCCAGACGGGCGACGAGCTTGAGGAGAGAGAAAGGCTGCGCCGAGTGCTCAAACAGATGGGACGAATCAAGTGTTCTAGTGAGGTATGCGCTACGTCTTTCTTCCTGTGTCCCTTTCTCTTTTCCTTTCTCCCGTTCGTTTCTACTCTTGCTTTCTTGTGTCCTACATTTCCATTTGTCCAACTTTCCTATCTTTCATGTCACATCTTCCTCTCTCCTCGTCTGCCAGTTTCGATGTTCTTTCTCCCTTTTCCTCAGGCTCTTCTTTGTGTGTCTGCCTCCTCTTACCTCTCTCTCTCCCTTTTCCTTTATGCCTTGTTCTTGACATGTTGCCCAAAACCACATCAACACTCTGCTTCCCATTACTCACACTACAGTGCAAAAAGCAGTGAGAAAGAGCTGCAAAAAATAGACTCTCTACTGTGACATGTTCTCACACACAGAAAAATGAGCAGTTTCCTCCTGTTTGTCGTTCAATAGTAAAGACATAATATTGACTTATTGCAGTAATATTGTTACATTTCAGTAAAAGTACACGTTATTATGCTTAAGCAGTTTCTCAATTACTATAATGTGTGTTTTCATTCTGTCCTCATTTCTGTTACTGGCCTCACACAAACACTATTTGTGCAAACTCACACACATTTATACAGGGCTGCTCAGCCCACTTTTCCAGCCTGATGGGCTACCAGTATCACCAGAAACGTTGTGGAAGCGAGTTCTCTGACGATCAGAAGCCTGTGTTTCTGTGCCAGCACTGTGGAAAAACCTACCGCTCCAAGGCTGGCAGAGACTACCATGTGCGCACCGATCACTCCTCGGCCATCACCACCACCAACAATAACGGCAAGGACTTTATCACTGACACCAACAACAACACCGGGAAAGATAAGGTAAGATCATCATGGAAGCCTTTTCCCCAATGTTTACAAGCATTTTTACTAGTTTTACTGTCATAGCTAGCAACAGTTTCCCCATTTCCCACTCAAAGAGGTGTCCTACTGCTTCCCCAGGTTGTCTCTGAGGAGTCTCCATCATTAGGCCACAAGGAGCCAAGTCCACTTGAGAAAGCACCATCGGGCCACTCTAAGGAGAAGGAAAGAGAAGCCAGGGAAAAGGAGAAGGCGAGGGAGCAAGTCAAAGAAAAGGTAGCACAGACTGCGAGCCAGGGGGATGACTTCGACCGGACGCCCAGCGGCAGAGTGAGGCGCCGCTCTGCTCAGGTGGCCGTGTTCCACCTGCAGGAGATAGCAGAGGACGAGCTGGCCAAAGACTGGGGCACCAAGCGCCGCATCAAGGACGACCTGGTGCCTGACAGCAAGAGGGTGAGGACACACTAGCACACATAAACATATGCTCTCACACTTAACACGCCTGCAAATGTACAGATATGGTGCAGCAATGTGAAGTGCTAGAAGACACAACTATCATCCCACACTCACACACAGCAACACAAACAGGGTTAGACACACATCAAACCCAACACTGTCATTCAAATGTTCCTTAGAAACACCAGATTTAAGTGGTAAAATAAAGCACAAAAAGTTGTCACTGCGTATCTGTTTTTAAATACGTACTTCAACATTTTTAACATGCATACTGATACAGATGTTCTCTTTTATGTGTAGTTAAATTACACCCGTCCTGGCCTCCCAAACTTCAGCCACGAGCTATTAGAGACGTGGAAGAACCAAGTCAAGGAGAAGGGCTTCATCTGCTGTCCCAATGAGGTAAGAACAAGTACTGCTTCAGAGTAATCTGTCATTTTGTATAGACAGATACTAACTGTATTAGAAACAAACAAAACGCTGTGTTTATTTCTGTTTTGTCTCAGAACTGTGAAGCTGTCTATTCCAGTGTATCGGGACTAAAAGCTCACCTTGCCAACTGCAGCCAGGTATAAACTCACCTGGAGCAAAGCCACAAACCTGATTTCATTTACCTCTGTAGTTATTCTAGTAGATATTAGAATACACACACACAGAGTTTCCACTGAATTTTACTTTTCATGTTGTAAACATACGTTTTTTAAAAATATTTAAAAGGAGGTTACGGACGTTGCTTTTTTTTATTGCTCTATTGTTTTTGGATTGCAGGGAGGTGGAGAACTGGGAAAGTACACCTGTCTGATCTGTCAGAAGGAGTTTAGCTCAGAGAGTGGTGTGAAGTACCATATCAGCAAGACACACTCACAGGTGGGTCCTTCTCAGTGTATACTTCACAGACTTATATATTATTTAGTATTACTTAAAGTACTCTCTTATAGGCAGAACTTTCATGTCTGTTAACGTACAGGGAAAACAGTCACGGAGGTTGGTATTTATATCTTGTGAAGAAGGTGTTACTGTATGCATATCATGTGAAAACAGGTTCTAAACTTGTATGGACAAGTTTATATAGCGATATTAAGAAAACGTCAATAAAACCCAAAACTGACCAAGTATTTTCTGACAGATAAATATATTTTGTTGATACAAAATAGCAACAGACGCTCATATTACTGCATAGAGACATGTTTTGCGGCACCACTCACTACAGTATAAATGTTACACAGTTATACACATGCTTCTGACAGTGTGTTTATGGCTTTAGAACTGGTTTCGTGCAGCAGTCAGTCAGGTGGTCTCTACTACCAAGAGTAAAGCGCCAGAGGACAATGGGATCAAGGCTGAGGTGAGGAACGGTGCCACGGCTGGTAAGAAGAGGGGCCGCAAGCCCAAAGAGCGCCCCCCTGTGGTTGCACTTCTCCAAACAAAAACTGAAGCTCCTACTATTTCTCAAAACTCAACCCCTGCTGTGACCCCTTCACAGTCCCCCTCCCCGCTCCCCGACCCATCGGACAGTGCTGCCCCAGGCCAAAACAGACAGCCCCTCCCCTCCAGCGCCAGACGAAGCAAACCGTAAAGGCTGTTATTGTCAGAGTAGCTCTGCTTTTGTCCCCCCAGGAGCCAGAGAGGAGTCTCGCTGTAAATGTTGTGCCAGGAAGCTAAGAGACCTTTCTAACTCCACAAGGACTTGGCACTGAGAAGAAAGTAAAATCAACCCTTAAGAAGTAAAACATTTAGTACAGACTTTTTGAAATCCCAGCGTAAATGTGTCTGCTGTTATAAACAATGCTCATGTAACAGTGGGGTTTTAATTCTCCATTCCACTTTTGTCTCCTTTTGAATACACATATTTCTGTTTCTGTACTCACAGCAGGTGTCAGTAGTATTTCAAGATAAAATCCTGACTACTACATGGTTAGCATTTTCTAAACAGAGGTAGTATTCCAAACAGAGGCAGAGTAATTCTCTCTACAATATCAATGTTGTGTTTGAGAGGTTTTAAAAAGGATATTCTATTAGCATGGTGAAGTCATTTAATGATAGCTAGTGTTTTCACATTTTTTCCACAGATATACTGTACTGTGTACATAAACAATATCTATATCTATATATCTATATACTCAAAGCAATGATGCCATCTGTCATTCTAAAGCCTGACACGTCCAAGTAGATCATGAGCAGTCAGAATCTATTGCAGTGTGTGCTGTAGTGCAATGTTGCTTTTACATTTGTTTTTTCCTTTCTTGTTTCTTCGTTTTTTTACTTTTTATTATTCAAGTAAGCAAATGTCTCATAAGCTAAAATATTGGTCAGTTGTTTATCATTTCACTTCAGTGATATTTACTTTTTGTTTTATCTGATTTTAGAACATTATGGTGAAAGGTATCTGCTTAGAGGACCATAATTAGGTGATCATTTCTATACTTCTTTTACACTGAAATTAATTAGCAGAATAACCCAAAAAAGTGATTGTTTGAAATTTTCCATTAGAAACGTATATGTTAATAATTAATATGGCATTGTTTAATCGATTTTAAACAAAAAAAAACTTGAAGCATATGTCTAAAATAGGACTGGCAAAGCTTAATGATGGACAGAGGGAGGAACTTTGTGTGAAGCTTGTTGCACCATTGCAGCACAATCAAATGATGTGACACCATTTTAAAGGAGGCCATGTTTTGGCTACTGCTTTTTGCTTGAATCAAAGAGCTGAGGAGTGAATACAAATATCTTTTATAGAGGTTGAGGGAAATAATCTTTTATTAAACAGAACATTTGCAAATGAAGATTCACTTTTAATGATGTATATGAATTAGTTCCTGGATGCTCAAAGTTATTGCCTTGCACTTTAACCCTTAAACCCCTCTCGCTCCCGTCTTGTATTTTTGCACTCCAGGAGTATTCAACCTTAACCTAGTGGCTCTCAGGCACAGCAGCGGGGATATTTAACTCTGATGAAAAAGCTACAGAAAACTACATTTGTCTTTACATGGGTAATAAGCAGCATGGTTAACTCTTTCTAGATAGAACCTGTAATCTAACACAACTGTATAATTATAACTCACAACACAAAGCCATAACAGGTCATGGCTGCTTTACCGATTAAAGTTAGTTTAGTTTAAGATTAAAACAATAATAATTATGAAATACAAAATGTGTGCAATCAAAGAATATGTTCACTGTAACATCTCTAAAGTTAATACTTGAATCCACAGTTTTATTAAAGATTTGAACAAATTAAAACTCCATATATATGTGATTTATATTTGGAGTTTGTGTCCATACAAATAATGCTTGTTAAAAAAAGACAGATTGTAAATCTATTTTATATTCTCTTGTGTGTATAACCCATATAGCAATCTGACAGTTGTGATGTGGGGATATTCTGGTAAGATAACAAGGGTGCTTTACTTGCCACTCTACCTTAAGGACCTAAACTCAGTAAGTCCACTCATCCATCCTGCCACTCTCTCCTCACTGGCAAGTCATCAGAATGTTGCACCAACAAATGTCAATGTCATCATTTAAATGGAGGACTGATGTCGGCGGAACATTTTCAAGAAACATTGAATTTGAAATAAATGTGTCCCAGGTGGTGTCATCCCTACGCCGTGACCTTTTATATTGTAAAGCAAAGATAGGAGCTGAATTCCTCCACGATTAATCAACTGATGGAGTTTGTTCAGGTGGGGATGATTATGCATGTGTCCGTCTCTGGTAATGGGATGGACCTTTATCTTCTATCCAGGTTCAGCAGACGGAGAGGATAAGTTAGACAAGCACTGATGGGTCTTTGGACCTTTTCGATATGAGTTATCCTGACCTTGTGTGTGAGCGTGTGTGTGTGAGCGTGTGTGTATTTGTACAAAACAGTTGGCACCTTTGTAATGACTGGATGTCGGAAATGGTAACACTTTTTGTTGAGTTTAATGCTGTGGCACAGAATCAGTTCATCAGCTGCTTGTTACTCGTGTCACATTGACTGTGTTTACCTGACAAGCTTTGGTGTTGCAATATGATAGTTAGGCACTGCTTTTAACAGTGGGTATTTTATATTTTATCTCACCCTTTACTATCTGTCTTCCTATGATGTGGAAAACACATATCTATCCCGCAGTGTAAGCTAACTGCAACATCTTTAGATAGTACAGCAATACACCATATTTAGCTGGTTTTGTTGGCTTGCTGATATTTTGATATTGATGTGTCTTCTCAAAAATGTATGGCTTTTTCACTTCCCCTACTTTTATTTCTTTGCTTTTTAAATATTATTAACTCTAAAAAAAAAAAGGGTGAAAAGATTTGTAGACCACAAAGAACATTGTAAGCCCATGTGTCGGCATACACTGTTATTTTATCCATTTTGATGATGCACATAAATTGATCTTTTTCAGTACACATTGACAAACACATTGAGCGAGTCCTTTATTACTTGTTATCTATTCAATATGGGACAACAAGGCATATGTATGTGTGTTTGTTTCTGTATTTAGTGCACTTACTATACAATGAAATAGGCTTGAAATAGGAGTGTTGTTGGAGCTTTCTAGTTACCCTGACTGTGTGTGGTGTGACTTTTGTACCTGGGAAAACAGCAGGCTCAAGTGTCTTCCCTTTGTCAGCAATGTTATTTCAAAACCAAGGTTAATCCCTAGACATCCCATTAGAAAGCCTGAGAATTTTACCCTTTTATTTTGACAACTCTGGTATGTTTCTATACAATACAACCTTCTTCAAAAGCAGGAAAAGGCATCCGCGCCTGTTGTCAGGGCCATTGTGACAAAACTGTTGAGAGTTTTAAGAGATGTCGTAGCTTATAAATGGTTATGATATAAAGGTAACAAGTGAAATGAGACTAATGATGTATTAAAGATTTCCATATCTGAAATTGAGCTGTATAGATCCTAACATAGGAGGCATCAACACCTCCTTTGAGTCTGAACTGTTACAATTTTTCTCCCAAACTTGTTGTATTACCTGTGCATTAATATCCCTCGACTGATTAATAAAGGTTTGTTGACTAAATTGTGTGTACACTGTGTCAACTGTATTTAAATTGAGCTGTCAACATCTAACTATAGTTGTTTTAGTTTACCTTAATTTCTCACAGTGATAATTTTGAGAAATCAACCACTTAAGGGCAACCTAAAGTGCCATGAATAAACCTACCTTTTTATTTGGTACATGAAAAAAACCTAAAATAATGTAATTAGCTGTAGCTAACTAGTTTGCGGTTATAGATAAGTCATGCAGAGCAATGTAGGTTAAGTAGCAGACATGATTGCCAAGGACGCATCAGTAACAGTTGGACTATCATCAATATTGGAAAAAATATAATGTTTTTTTTAATACTAATTCTATGTAAGATATTACTTTATTGTGTATTTTTAGATATCTTTCTTTATCAAACAGAAATGTATTATCGCCTTAGGTGCCCTGTATAAGACCAATGTGCTAAAAGGAAAACATACACATAATAATAGTATTCAGTTGTAAAATCTACCACATGGCCTGTTGAACCTCACCCATTGCCAGCTGTTAGGAAGGCGCTGTGTAATGTGTGTGTGTGATACTGCAGCATACACACTGCTGGCTGTAGATCGAAAGTGCAGAACAGATGCATTCTGGGGCTTGAAGTCCATACGCAGGACCAACGCTGAGGTTGCCTCGGGTTGCGGTCGGATAGTTTAAAAATCAGCTTCTAAATTCTAACCATAGGTTGCGTTCCGATAATCCAAAAATCAGCTCCTAAATTCTAACCCTATCTCCTATTCCTTGACCTCTGAGTGAAACGTCACGGGGTTAAGGGATAGTGGATAGGATAATTCAAAAGGACTTAGGAGAAGAGACTGCGGGGCTGCATTCCAATAGTCCATTTAGCTTAGGAACCTTCCTAACCAAGTGAAATGACCCGGAAGTACGTCAGTGGCAGCCATGTTAAGTGCCGTTCCAATTTTCCAAATGAAAGGAAAGGAGGTTTCAAACTTCCTTTATAACCTCCTTTAGCTTAGGAACCACTGGACCTCCCTTGACGAAAGGAGAGGAGAAAATGCTGCCCCACAATGCATTGCAGCCGCAGCATTTGCCGTCACTCAATAATGACACTAACTGTATATCTGTAGACTTAGTATGTCTTAAATGTCCGGTTAGTACGGTGGCCCTGAAGTGCAAGACACTACAACATTTCAGAAAACACCACAGCATTTCACGAAACACAACAGCATTTCACAAAACACTACAGCATTTCACAAAACGCCACAGCATTTCAGAAAACGCCACAGCATTTCACAAAACACCACAGCATTTCACAAAACGCCACCGCATTTCACAAAACACCACAGCATTTCAGAAAACACAACAGCATTTCAGAAAACACCACAGCATTTCACAAAACACCACAGCATTTCACAAAACACCACAGCATTTCACAAAACACTACAGCATTTCACAAAACGCCACAGCATTTCAGAAAACACAACAGCATTTCAGAAAACACCACAGCATTTCACAAAACACCACAGCATTTCACAAACACAACAGCATTTCAGAAAAACACCACAGCATTTCACATTGGACGGAAAGGGTATTCCTTTAGTGATGTTTGTGATTGGACAGAGCCAGCCAGAGAAGCACTGCTGTGATTGGTTGTTTTTGCTGCCAGTCAAGAAATGACGCTTCGTGATTGGTCAACACCCGACAGCGAAATATGTCCCAACACATCAGCCGTTAGCACACACTCAGAGCTCACAGCTCCTCATATCTGTTCTGAAACTGGACAAAAGTTAAACATGTACAAACCACAGACTGTCTGTGTCATGGCGAATACAGTCGCTGCTTTATTTATGTCTGTATGACGTTGTTGTGAGTGTGGACGGAGCAGCTACAGGTTAGTTTAGCCTGATGGATCAGATTCCATTCAGAAAACACGCATTTTAAAAGCTTTTCACTTGCCGTCTTGTCTGCAGACTTGTCAAAGCGTTAATTCATGGTTTTTACTAACCGGTATCAGTATGTTGTTACTTCGGCATCACTTTGAAACGTGTATTACAATTAAATCACGGTCAAATATGTTCATTTTGTTGTAGTTGGTATCTCCCATATAATTTACATGGAGATACGCCCCGCCCCCTCTCAGCGCCTCTTGTTTGAATGACAGGAGCAAACACAGCTGACAGCCGCGGTGAAACTCGAGCGATTAGAGCGATGCGAATATTGGGTGGTCTACCATAGTATTTACATGGAGATAAGCCCCTTAAAAACCATGAATTAATAAAGCATTAATTCTGTGTTTACTCCTGGAGAGGGGGCGGGCCGTATCTCCATGTAAATCCTATCGGAATCGGATCGATCAGGCTAAACTAACCTGTAGCTGCTCCGTCCACACTCACAACAACGTCATACAGACATAAATAAAGCAGCGACTGTATTCACCATGACATAGACAGTCTGTGTTTTGTATATGTTGAACTTTTGTCCAGTTTCTGAACAGATATGAGGAGCTGTGAGCCAGCTAACGGCTGATGTGTTGGGCCAATCACGAAGCGTCATTTCTTGACTGGCAGCAAAACAACCAATCACAGCAGTGCTTCTATGGCTGGCTCTGTCCAATCACAAACAAGAAGTGTTCTCCCTAAGGAATACCCTTTCCGTCCAATGTGAAATGCTGTGGTGTTTTCTGAAATGCTGTTGTGTTTTGTGAAATGCTGTGGTGTTTTCTGAAATGCTGTTGTGTTTTGTGAAATGCTGTGGTGTTTTCTGAAATGCTGTTGTGTTTTGTGAAATGCTGTTGTGTTTTGTGAATTGCTGTGGCGTTTTGTGAAATGCTGTGGTGTCTTGCACTTCAGGGCCACCGTAGGTTAGGATGTATTAGAACGAAATCTAAAATGAAAATTGTAAATAAGCAATCTGTATGTAAAAAAAACACCTGTATGTACATTGTAAATAAGCCATCTGTATGTCAAATATGTCTTATATGTCTTAAATGATATGATGAATTGGAAATGGGGGACCCTGATGTAAACAAGACGAAAGTCTTTCTCTGGTCTGCATCCCCTTAACAATTGTATGTTTTGAGCTGTACTGTACTGTACCCAATATACAAGCTGTTAATAAACTTTTCAATCAATCAATCACATAACAATAACTCATCTCTCGAGTTTTCTTTTTGAGCTTTGCTAAAAGCCACTGTGTCAAGTGTCCATCTTGGGTTGCCGTCCGGAGTTGTCCAATATGGCGGACCATCTCACACATGCGCAGTACCGATCGGGCAGGGGGACGGATCGGGTAGTGACACAGTGGTTCCTAAACTAAAGGAGATTATAAAGGAAGTTTGAAACCTCTGAAACCGACTGCAGAATGGTGACATATGATATTCCTACAAGACCCATGATGCCTCAGCACTAACTCTGCCCTCTACAGCTGATTGTCAACAGTAGCAGTGTCTGCCGTTAGCAGGGAAGAAAGGCTCTCAAAGATGGAGAACGAAGAGATAACTTCTTCTGTGTCGAACAGGTAAAACTGTTACAATTAAGAGTGTTTTTTAAGACCATTGACTTCATATAACACGACTTTTTTAGCCGACTTTTATAAAATAAAATTCACAGGCAGTTGGTTAGGCTAAACATCTTTACGGAAACACGACATGTCACACTTGTGTGCCTTCATTGGATCTGTCACTGTAACGTTACCATAAAAGTAGTTAACATGTCGCTGTCATGGCAGGGAGGAGGTATAACAGTTAGTTTATTGCATATGTCATATCAACGCAGTATACTTCAAGTTCTTCGTATTGTCCACTCCTTCGCTTAGTTGTCATATTTTACACGAGGTGCCCCTCATTTCATAACTTCACAGTCATCTTGTCAAACCAGAACAATATAAAAACATTTAACATGACCTCAAACATGCTAGTGTGACGGTTGTCCCAATAGATACATCAAAAGCCTCGATTTAGCAATTTCATGCATTTTTCTTTGAGCAGTGGGAGGAAGCATGGCATTTTCTGCTGGCACTGAGAAACAAATGTCCTCCTTCTTGGGGAAACGAGGCTACAAATAGAGCTCACATTTGATTTAGGTGACTATTGCTGTAGCTGAATATACATGGCGTCATACTGTGATATTGACCCAGTGAGACCAATAGTATGTTCCTGTAACCACCCACAGCAATAGTAAAACAACTCTAAACTTGGTACACTACTGAGCCACAAGAGGGTGTTGCTGCATTGGTCTATCCACTGAGGGGTACTTCCTGTTTACACTCACTAAACCTGTTCAAAAAGCACGATGTTTAACGTGGCAAAGCCTTATTGGAATGAATATTCAGGGTGGAGTCAACACACTAGCTTTGAAGTATATTTTGACGGCGTGAAACTGGCAGAAATATGTGAGCACAAATTACTGATAGCACTTTAAGTTGCTAAATATAATGTTACCCAACAAGAAGCATTTTAATCCAAGCCCGAAAAAACATAAACAACACATATTTGCAAATACTTAACTTAGCACCATTATGGTTAGTTATTTTGTCCACCCCAAATATCTACTTACATAACTCTGTCCTAGTTTCCAAACAAGATAAGACAAGTATTTGAACTTTGGATCCTGTAAAAGGATATCTTGTACCTTTATGGCCCATGTGACTTGTCACTTCCTTTTTTCATTTAAGACATTCACTTTCATTGATGACGAAATGATAAAAGTATTGCTGAGACACAAATAGATATCTTCATGGTTATAGGTTGCATATAATCTGTAGTCTAGTATTTCTGTCACTGTACTTACAATGTTAGCAAATGTCCATTTCACTTGGGCCTATGACCCTTCAGAGTGTCTCTGTTGCCAAAGAGAGACAGCTGAATGTTTGGCATAGCAACCAGTTCAGGCTTCTTGTTTCGAGATGGCTTTCTTGCGCTGCAGCTGTCCCCTGACGGTAGTTTAAAGCAACAGCGACAGTCTTAAAGCTGCAGTGGAGAGAGAAACACAAAAACACTAAGTACCATGGTTCCCCCCTGTGGTTTTAACAAGGAAGTTAACCGAAATGAGGTCTTGTCAAGTCCATACTCCAAATGGGAGAAATCTTTAAATGTTGGTTTAAATCTTATTTAGTAGCGTCTCTCTACGCCATGTGGTTCTTGAGCTGTGGCCTGCTCAGTTCTAAAGTTTGTTTTTGCTGCACTGGGAAACAATTGGTCTGTCTCCTCTGATCTCTGTGCAAGTTGTGGCCCGGGAGGAGTGCGAGTGTGTGCACATGTGACTTTATGTGTTCCGTGTGTGTGCATTGCCTAGGGTTGTTCCTCTGTCAGCTGATAGAGCAGTAGTGTTGGGTTTCATCATGCTGTTTACTCCCCAGCCTTCACTGTGAGTGAAGTTAGGGAGGGGACTACACACACTCTGTTTGTGTGTGTGTGTGTATGTTTGCTCTGTTGTGCTGACGTCTCCAGAGTCAGGCTGATGTAAGGCTCATAGAGACATGGCAGCTCCCTGAAGGGCAAAAAGCACATTGCCTCCCTCTCTGCCCTTCCCTTCTGTCAACTCTCTCCCTCTGCATGTCCCCCTCTCTTCTCACCCCAGCACAGCCTAAAGCAGATTTGTTTTACCCAGCTTGTTTATCTATGTCTTTATTGCTCTCTCCTGGTCCCTCCTTGACTTCGATATTGCAACACTGACTGTCAAAAACAGATGACCCGGGCTTGGCATGCGTGTATGTGTGTGTACCAGGAGTGGGAAGGCTCTAACCTGGCGCTATTAATACCACCTAATGAACATAAGCTGTAGGGTAGGTTATCCTCTTACATTTGTTGGCCGGACGACTGAGGGGAGGAGTAAAGCGCGAGTGAAAGAGGAGGGAAAACTGTGCTGTATTTTCACATTGAGGGCGCTCTCTTTACCAAGCTGCAGTGCCTTGTCTCTCCCTCTATTGCTCCACTGAGTAGAAGAAATAGAAAGCTAAACTGATGTTAAAAGTTTCGTTTCTCATCTTATCTAATTCCCCTCATATTGCCCAACCTCTAACTCTGTCTCTCTGGATGTGTTGCATCAGAGGGCAGTGCTGTTAAATGCTCTATTGTGCGTGAGTGTGTATTTATACTGAGTATACTTGTTGGCAGTAATATTGGATTAAAACACACACTGCGTAATACACACAGTGGGAGCCTCCCATATCTTTCTCCAGTTATGCACTCTCTACCATCCTACTCAGGAGCTAGAATATCTGGTTGTTGGACTCTAAGATCTGATGGCAGGTAAGTGCATTTTATTTATTTATATATTTCATATACTGTTTTTGTGTGTTACTTCAGGTGTACTTACCAATTGAGTATTTTTGCTGTTCCATTCTGTTAGAGCTTCTCTCTTTAAAGAGTTCATAAAGACAGTCTGAAGCTCGCTTTGATACGACCCTAAGGTTTTTTTTACATTCTTTGGGAATATTTGCATCTGTCATGTAATAACAGGAACTCCATGCGAGTGACTTTTTAAAATGCGTTTGTCCGGATACCCGATGTTTTTGTGGAAAATGCGATTAAAAAAATAGAATTTTATAGATTTAAATTGTTCTGTTACACAAACGAAAAGGAGTCAATACAAATTGAAATGAAGTAAAGAGTTAGTTAAGTTGTGTTTTGTATGAAGACTGATGCGAACAGTAGAATGGAGTTTAGATTGACTTATTTCAAAAACGTGTCATGGTATTATAAGTTAAGTTAAAGCCTTTTATTGTCATTATACACAGAGTATAATGAGATTCAGAGTATATCAATATAAATATCTGATTCAATTTCAAAGAAAAGTAATGCTCCCTAGATTTAATGTTGGGGTTTTATCAAAGGAATCTGCTGCCTTTAAGTGATCTTTGGCCCCCTCTTCAAGGAAACAATGTTTGGGGTTTCGAAGAAGGGAAAACAAAACAACATGTAGTGTAAGCCAAGTCCTTCTGAGTTATTTACTGCTCCTGTTCCTGCTAATAGATGGTCTCTACCCTGCAATCAATCCAATCCACTTTACTTCTATAGCACATTTAAAAACAACAGAGTTAAACAAAGTGCTGTACACCATCAACTGTATAAAAACATAGCAAAACAACAGACAGGACATGAAACAAATGTAAGACACGAGACAATGAAACCAGATCAGAAGCCACAGACTGAAAAACTCTCCTACATGACGTAACAACAATACAAAACACTAGTAAGATTAAAAACCCACATTTAAAAGCACAAATGTCATACCTGGCCTGCAAATGCCAGGGAAAAGAAGTGGGTTTTTAAGATTTAAAAACAGGCAGAGTTGGAGCAAGTCTAACCTGGAGGGACAATTTGTTCCATAATTTTGGAGCTGCAAAGGCTCCGTCTCCTCGCTGCTTCAACCTCGATGTAGGGACGACCAGAAGGAGTCTGTCAGCAGACCTCAGTGACCGTGTGGTATGGTTTTAAAAGGTCTGCCAGGTACGGTGGGGCTAAACCGTTTAGGGCTTTGTATGCAAACAAATAACATTATTAATTGTATTCTAAAACTGACTGGTAGCCAATGTAAAGAGGCGAGTATAGGCGTAATATGTTCATGCCTGCCTGTCCTTGTAAGGAGGCGTGCAGCAGCATTCTAGACCAGCTGGAGGCGAGACAGCGAAGCCTGGCTTACTCCAATGTACAGAGCATTGCAGTAATCCAGTTTTAATGGATATAAAACAATGTATTACTCTCAAAGTCATTCAAAGATAGGAAAGGCTTGACCTTTGCTAACAATTCTTAGCTGAAAAAATCACACCTCTTGACACCGTTTCTTCACAAAGAAGCATTTCACTAAGCATTGAGTAATGTCACTGTACTTCCTACACAAGGGAAGGATTCAGCACATCCAACTTCTCTTTTATGGCACCTGGTGGAGTGTGCTGTGCTCGATGCTCTGTGTTCTCTGTCGTACATGATCAATACTGAAGCCCACTCCCCGGCTCCATCAAAGCTCAGATGACCCTGGTCCGATTTGAGTGATCTTTGCTCTCTCTCGTTTGCTTGTCGTCTGACTTGTGACACTCCAACTGTGTATGTGCACAAAGAGTTGGAAGTTGAAAGGTGACTGATAAATAAAGGTACATCTAGGAATGCTTTCTGACACAGCTTTGATCAAGTTAGGGTATCAAGCTGTTTACAACCCTTAGTGTGGAGGACTTGAATACTGCTTTGTGTTGCTAGAAACTCACTCAAAGAAACGTATATGACACTATAGTATACAATAATACTTTGTTGTCAAGATTGAAGTTTCAAAGCTTTATTGTTGCTACAGTTTCTATGGCAACGTTATGTCCCAGGCTCCTCCAACAATGCCTCACAAATATTTACAAGACATAAAACAATACAGAAATAAAATAGTGCAAGATTATGTTACAAGACAAATGTGCAAGTAAATGCAGAAGTAAACTATATACATGTTAAATAAAATACCATCTAAATGTTGAAAGACCAACGTGCAAGTAAATGCAGAGGTTTATATCCATTTAAAATAAAACAAGATAAGCAAATACTAAATGTAAAATGAATGATTGTGCAGTGGAATAAATACTGCTTATTGTAATAATAAATACATGTATGAACTGCAAACAGATCAATGCTATAAAGTTGCTTCAAAGTTGTCAAATCAAGTCTGAAATGTTTCTTGAATCTCAGCAGCTTTATTTGCAACATCATCAAGGACACATGACAAGAAACAATAAAACAGACATTTCACATACTATTACAATCACCGAAGACATTACTTTAAAGACATTATCATAAACTAAGTTGTTATCTCAGGATTGACTGGGGCACAATAAAGTGATTCCCTGTTCGAGGCGTGGTAAGGGTCCGAGGCAGTGTGCCTGGCCTGCCTTCACTAGTTGTTATGGTAGCTTGATTCATAAAGTTCCTCAAAGGGTCTTTGAGAATGTATTTATTTACATAACTTGAGTTTGTGGTGATGCTTGATCGCCACAAATCCTTTCGGCTATTTACTATTTGTGTTATAAAAGTGATTGCAACACTGCTGATGTCCAAGTATTTTGTGCACGCCAGCTAATGCACCACAGAGACCACAGACCTCGTCAAACTAAACTTTTGCAAGAAGTTCTAGACGGGTTTGTCAACAATAGAAGAGTTCTGTGTGTTGTTCTCTGCCCTGCATTTGAATGAGTCACAGCCATTAGCTGGATGTTCTTCAGCACCACAGGAATGTACTTGGAGCTACAACTCAATGTTTGATGTGAAACCATGGTCTGCAGAAGGACAATAAACGATCTTTGAGTCATGTCCCACAGTAAAAACTATTGTTCTCTATGTGGAACAATAAGTTAGCCAGATACTGTTACGAGAGTGCAATAGACAAATTGCACAAGGTACATGCATCTTCCTTAGTGGAAATGTACTGGTATTGTGTTGCACAGAAGACATGGTGTTCAACCTGTTAAGTTTGAATAGTCAAACATGCGAATTCGCTCTGTACCCGGCTCCCATTAGAGGCTTATACCTGTTTTGAATGTGCTTCTTTTACTTTCTTTATGAGGGCCTTTTTTAGTTTTGTTATCTGTCAAAACACGGCATTGCAATAGTCCTTGTTACTGGTTACACCCTTAGTGTGTTGCAAATACTGGAGGACAGTAGTCATGTTCTTCAACCCAGTTAACCTTGGTGTACTTTGATGTCTGCGGCAGTCATAGTGTACACAGTATTGGACAAAGCTCACCTGTTAAAGATGTTGGAACATTAACCCACGAGAGGACGCAATACCTCGAACTCAGGGACGTTAATTGTCAGTTAACAGGGTCACTTTTGTCTTTCTGCATTTCTATCCCACAGTTGCAAACACGAACTGACAGACTGTCTGTGTGTTTGTTTGATCACTTTTATTAAAGGATTTTTTCTCCTGTAGATTACATTTTCATCGTGATAGCTATGTTGTTCTTGCCATGCCTTATTGGCTGTTTAACACCAACTATCACCACTGTCCAATGGGACACTAATCAGCTGTCAATCAAATGGTTTACTAAGTTAAATGACAACCCCCATCTTGCTGTCAAGCCAAAGCCCTTTTGTTATATAGCATTTGATCAAATACAAGTGTTCATATTTATGGGGATTTAGTTCACGTCTGGGCAAATAAAAGGTCAAGAATTAGTAGTTCTCAAGATCTATAGAGTTGTATGCTTAGTCATTAATGTGTTCAGTTCCATGCAATAAAAAAACAAGAGGGCAGAAAGGTAATTGTATACTTTGTTTTGTTTTTTGTTGCTTTGCAGTGGAGGTGGTGAGGGATCACTGGACCGGCTTCTCCCCGTGGTAACCACAGGCCTTTCACCCAGGAAACGGACCACCAGCCAGTGCAAGTCTGAGCCTCCTCTCCTACGCACCTCCAAAAGAACCATCTACACCGCCGGCCGCCCCCCCTGGTACAACGAGCATGGAGCACAGTCCAAAGAGGCCTTCGTCATTGGTAAGACACAAAGAGTTGCACGCCACAATGTAACGGCAGTAATGGTTTCTTATCTTGCATATCTTTGTATCATTTAGAGGACTTGCAGTAAGTTGCATTGTCATAGAGAAAAATGCATACTGACACATAATGCCAATACATATTTTTTTCTAGTGAGTTTTAAAAACGGAAGGAAAAGCAGCCCTACACTAGATCATGTGCTTAGTCTAAGTAGTCTTAGTGCTTAGAATTGAGTCCCTTACTGTTACACCTTGGTAAGATCCCTGGTATGTGTCTCTGCCTGTCTCACTAAATTCAAATAATAGCCTGAAGCCACTTCAAAATTAAGTTATTTGCCCTGTCAAGCTAGCGCTAGTAAGTTATATCCCAGCCAAGCAAAGGTATTTTTTAATAAATGTTGCAATTAAACTTGTATGCAAATAATATCTGATGTCTTTAATGTTTTGTCACAGGTCTGTGTGGCGGCAGCGCTTCAGGAAAGACAACCGTAGCTAGGAAAATAATTGAAGCTCTAGATGTGCCATGGGTTGTCTTACTCTCAATGGACTCTTTCTACAAGGTGTGTTTTAAACTATATGTTGTGTATCCGTTTATCTGCCACACACTTTCTTAGAAGGGTGGTTTTGTTAGGTTAAGAGTGTCTATTATTTAGAATATAGCTGGCCTGAATTCTGAGATGTTTTTTCATATCTTGACATCAATCCAAATGCTTTCAGATTCTAGAGATAAAAACTTCAGGACTCTACTAAACCACTTATCCTTTTTTGTATTAAGTTGTATCTATGACTGGTCTGGCTGCTTACTACGCAGTGCCCTGAAGGAAGGGAGAGAGTGAGACTAAGTGCAGAACGCAGAGTGAAAGAGATAATACGAGTGCCTTTGGATCCAAGAGGGGGATTTAGGATAAGGGGAGTGAATGGAGAGAAAAGAGACGGAAAGGACTACATTTAAAAAGGCAGATGAGTCAAAAGAAAAGCACAGTGATGGGCAAAGTGGGAGAGAGGAAAAGGTTTACGGAGGGCAAGCAAGCAAGAGCCATTTTTCTTGCCCCTGTATTCCTCCTCCGGTATCCGGTTATGTAATCCTGCCACCATCTGACAAGCTGTGCGGAGTAGGAGGGATTTACCCTCAGCTAATGATACTGTAGTTCTCAGCAAGGGGCCGGTTCGACCACAGTATTCCCAGAGGTCGCCATCCCAAACATTTAGCCTGTCCAAAAAAACATTTCCTACGTTACGTTTTCTTCATGTTGGTTCAAATGTCCCACGGTAACACCAGTTTATCATTTTTAGAATGTATTCAGTTCACTTGAGAAGTGGGTGTTGCTGTTCTGAAACTGCCAAATGCCAAATGGTTTTAATGATAGACTACCCTAGGGTACACACACACACACACACACACACACACACACATACACACACACACACACACACACACACACACACACACACACACACACACACACACACACACACACACACACACACACACACACACACACGCACACCACCTGGTACAGACGTCACAGTGTCGCATGATGTTCTCCTAAATTTAGGTCTTCTAATTTCAACAACTCAACAGTAATCTGTGTCGAAGTGTTTTTGCATAAGCTGGTGTAAATTATATGGCAAACCATTACTTGAGCGTGTGTCAAATTGTTTTATCAGTTTTTTTTATCATATGTTTGATATGCAAACGTTAATGTGTGCTAATAAAAATCCATAAACTGAGACACAGGACATTTCTCATGAAATCAGTTTTTAAAGCATCTTTGCAAGTTTGCTGTAATTTAATGTCAACATTGTTGTGATCCTCAGGTCCTGTCCCCAGATCAGCAGACTATGGCTGCCAGTAACGACTACAACTTTGACCACCCTGATGCCTTTGACTTCGATCTGCTGAGCCACACCCTGCGCAAACTCAAGCAGGGCAAGAGTGTGAAAATCCCCGTGTATGACTTTACAACTCATGGGAGGCAGAAGGAGTGGGTAAGGCTGTTAAAACATGTTAAAAAACATGTTAAAACACATGGCAATGCACTTTGTAAGTTAATGAATAAGCCTGCTGGCGTAACTGCATATCATCTCAGTTTCTCTATTATCTAAGAGGTTTTTAATCTCTCTCACCAGAGAGTCACATTTCAAATCTGCTGCTCCAGATGGTCACTGACGAGCCATTTTTTGTATTCTTGTTTTAATACTTTCATGTCCAACTACACTAAGACATTCCCCCATCACCTGCATCTGTCAACGTTTGATTGATCATGATGATTGTTAAAATATAGACATTAGGGCCGCTCGATTATGGCAAAAATCATAATCTCGATTATTTGGGTCAATAATTGATATCATGATTATTAAAAACGATTATACATTAACTTTGAAAACATCAATTTATTGGAGACATTTTTTTCTAACAGTATGTTTTCAACAGTTGATTACCCTGAACTTTGAGTATAATTCAACTGAAAAGCCAATAATAAAAAACGTAATAAAAAAAAAGTAATAAATAATAAAAAGATAATCGTTTTATTTCGATTACGTTGTTTTCGTAATCATTGCAAGCCATAATCGTAATTGCGATTAAAATACGATAGATTGAGCAGCCCTAATAGACATGTGCTTTCTGTATGACCATGCACTGTATGTCTGTTCTACTCTAATAACACCTGCATGTGTGTCCTCCACAGAAAACTGTGTATGGAGCCAGTGTTATCATCTTTGAGGGAATCATGGCCTTCGCCGATAAAAAGCTCTTGCAGGTAGGGCAAGGTTAATCTCCTCTAACTTGTTTAACTAGTGTTGGAGCAAGGAGTGGTCTGAAACCCACCTCGGCTCCGCGCGTCCTTTGATGAGCTGGTCAGATTTATAAAAGAAGGAATTCAAAGCACCAGATAAAGGGTTAAACAATAATCTGCTTTAATGGTAAACAACAACAATACACTTTAAAGGGGGCACCCCTGCTCTGTTCCCAGTGCCGGGGGAACTTACTATCTTGACGGCAGGAGGAAAAGAGACCGGACACAAGGGCCCTTTCTCATTTCTCTAACCCCCCTTCTCGACTCCCCTCCTTGACTCCTATCCTCGATACTTAGTCCCGCCCACAGGAGATGCGAGCCGAGGAGGGGAACCGAGGAGATAGGAGGGGAAGCAGCAGGCGGTTAGAGAAATGAGAACTCCTCTCCTCTGAGCGGTCATTTTAAAGAGACGTCCATTAATGATGACAGGAGGCACAGCAGCCCTCTGTCTGATGGACAGATGTGTTCATGACGACTTATATATTTACTTTGAATTCATTCACAGTGCGGTATAATAAGACAATAACAGGCTACAGATGCGGACACACACACACACACACACACACACACACACACACACACACCCACACACATATGTATATATTTATATAAATATATACTATTTCAGAATCAAACAGAGCACTCTCATAATAACGTAACACTATCAGAGACTGGATATATCCCCCCCCCTCTCTGTTCGCTACAATGAGGAAAATAAATTACGGGCCAAAAGTTTTATTTACAAGTATTAAAAGTAAGCAGAGGACACCAAACCAACTGAGACCTGTCTGTCCACTGCATCTACGCACACACTGTACCACACACACCTATACCACACACACGTACATACAGTTCCTAAAACAGGCTACAGCCGTTGTGTATTTTATTATGTGAAGCACTAAATGGTCTTAGAAAAATATCGACTCTTTGTTTGTAGATATCTACTAAACTAAAGCAAATAAAAAGAGTAGGCCTGTTATACTGAGTGATATATATTATACACACTGCTCTGCTTTCTGCACGGACCTCACAGCTGTTCTCTCTGGAAACATCGCGTCGATGAAAGCAGTTAATAATATAATATCCAGGGATGCATGCAGAGCTGTCATTGGCTGAGATAAGTCCGGCCGTGCGTCACGTCTCTTTGAAACATCTCTGTTGCCGGAAATACATCCACGAAGGAGCCGTGGAGGACCCATCAGTGTATCCTCGGTTACAGCTCCTCCAGAGAGCCTCCTCGACGCTCGATCCTCGGTGCCCGAAGTGCATTTAGAGAAATGAGATGTCCTTCAACATGGCGCGCTGAAATTCATTTCCGGGTCACTACCGGAGGACCGAGGAGTCGAGGAGTCGAGGAGGGGGATTTGATGAAATGAGAAAGGGCCCAGGACACAACATGGCTTCATGTAGTTAGAAAGGGAGGAGTTGTGTCGGATGCTCCTCCCATACAGGTCATCTATTGGGCGATATAAAAACGATGGGCTGTTGTCGCGAATCAGCGCGAGCCAGCCGAGATGACCCGGAAACGAGAGTCTTTTAAGTTTGAGGCAAAACAAACACATCTGGTGTTCGCTGTCTCACATTCTTGCAGCCTGCACACACACACACACATTCCATAGACTTCCTTCTCTGCTCCCCCTCCCCCATCAGTTTAACCCACACACAGTCTCACATACTCTTGGCCTCTTTTAAGATATGTCTAAAATATAGTTGTTTTATAGTTGGCCAATACAAGCAATACATGTAAATTACCTTAATATCAATAATAACGAGGAAAATATTACCTCTGCTCTCAAGCAGTGAAATAGTAGAACTTTACATAAACATATATAGAGAACGGACTCATTTCCCTTAGCATGTGTAACGCATCATAGGCAGCATTCCAGAGATTTGAGCTGTGTCCAAATAAGAATATCTCATCTCTCACATCTCCACTACTCCAAATACAAAGGTTTCACTTCTCATATTTCCAGCTTCTTGTTATACAGACTGCTACTATTTAATACAAAGTAATTAAGTACACACATGAATATATAAAAACACACTTTTTATATATCAGGTGACATAATAAAATGAATATACCAGAAATACGCTGTATTAAACGTTCTGCTATAACACGTTACTTCACTAGTCATCGTAACGAGCTGGTGTCAGATTCATTCTGATGCGTGCTTCTGTCAAACATGTTATTTGCATAATACGGGAGGTCACTTTTTACTGCTGACCACATAAACCAGCCAGCGATGTTTATGCAAAAACAAGCTCATCAATTATTTTCACAAATCCACGATTTATATATAAACACATTCAAAATTCACTGGCTAATAAGTGCAGAGGATATGCCAAAGATATTTTTGAAGGGACAAACTTTCTCCACCAGAGAGCACTGACAAGTTCATTTTTCCACCGTAAAATGTTGTTTATTTAATAAGCTTTTATCCTTATCTATTACTTCCAAATTGATTTATTTGATTTGATTGACATGTTTTTCAACTGCTGTTAAAAAGCTGTCTATTGACATCAGCAGATGTTAAGCATTCAACTACTATAAATAGTTATAATCATTCTTTAAAAAACGAATTGCCATTTTGCCACCTGTTCAATATCATGCTGTGCTGTATATATGAATGTGAATAGGATTGCTTTTTAAATCACTAAAAACACTGCCCCCTTATTCTTGCTTTTAGAGATAAGTAAGTGAAACACATCTGTGGTAAGGTGATACAAAACAAAAACTGAATAACTTACAGAGAATGAATAAAAGTCACCGCATACTTGTAGCTCCAATGTGATGTTAAAACAAAACTGAGGAAAAAAAGTGTCTACGGCTGAATTCTCTTCATCAAGGGTACATTGTTGCATATTTTAAATACACATTTTTTCCGGAGCATTTCAAACTGATTGTCAAGAAAAAGAAATATCCATTTCAAGCACGGGTAACTTTTCCAATTCACAATGACTTCAAATATCTTGACACAACAGGAACCACACGTGATCCTAGAGTTTTACACAACAATAAGCAGAAAGAGTATATTTCTTTTCTTTTAGTTTTCATGTTCACATTTCCTCTCCGTTTCATGTTCTCCTGTCAGTTGCTGGACATGAAGATCTTTGTGGACACAGACTCTGACATCCGGCTGGTGCGTCGGTTGAGGAGAGACATCACAGACCGAGGCCGAGACATCGAGGGCGTCATCAAACAGTACAACAAGTTTGTAAAGCCAGCGTTTGAGCAGTACATTGAACCCACCATGCGGCTGGCAGATATTGTGGTGCCACGGGGTACGTGCATTCTCCACACACACACATTGAAACATGTATATTATAGTTTATTATGTCTTCATTGAACAAGGACCATGCATACAAATAAATGTATCTCAAAAGGAGAAAGATGATCTTATTTCCATCTGCAGTCCTTGGGCAGGTTCACACACAACCATCAACAAAAACTAAAAACATTCATAGTCTCGATCACAAACGATTAAAAGCAGATCAAAGTACAGGTCTATTAACTCAAATACAGTACAAGTATATGACAATTCATTTCAACTAAACATTCAAATTACAGTCAAATTAGTTGGCAGGACTGGTTGCTTAATATCCATTTGTTTTGCACCATGGGGAAAAAGAGTGGAAGTCTGTTCACATTACAATGACACAGGGAATAAAGAAAAATTGAGTTTTGTTAGGAATTTGATCAACATTGCATTTTACTGCTGTTAAATGAATAAGACACTGTATATTTGTATAGACCTAAGTTAACATCATGCCACCTTGTTTTTGTCGTCCCTTCAGGCGGTGGCAACATGGTGGCCATCGATTTGATTGTGCAGCATGTCCACAGTCAGCTGGAGGAGGTAAGAGAGGTCTCACTAGTAGACCAAAATACATGTTGTTTTAGATTTTAGACATGTTAGTATAGCATTCATTTATCCTCCCTGATTTCTGTTTTCTGTTGGGATGCTCCAAAACTCATATGTGTGTAGCAACAACCAGCCATCAGCTCTGTCTGTAAATACAAGCTCCATCCCTCCCTCTGGTGGACAGAAGATGAACCACACTAAACACATTAAAGGGCAGGATAAATGTGATGAATATGCATGTGTTTCTGTCTGGTTTAGTGAGTGTGAAGTTAGATATAGATGTTTTGAAGTATTATGATAGCAGTTATTGTAGTCCCATTAGTCTGTTTCAGGATTTACTTATTTGTTTTACTTTAAGTCTCCAGTCACGATTCTTTACTTATTTGTGTCTAAAATTAGTTGGAACTTTATTATTCCCGAGTTACAGCACTAATTGTAAAACAAACAAAGTGAACCTGCAACCAAAAGATTGAATGTTCATTTCTGGATTTTTTTTTTAATGTCTTTTGGTAATTGATTACATTTTCTGCTTCTCCATATTCAATTGGTTAAGATGTCCTTCAGGTCAATCCATTTAATTTAAGCCTTTTAAAAATGAATTCACATCATAGTAACGTTAATGACAGGGTTCTTACGGTCATTAAAAACCTGGAAAAGTCATGGAAATTCAAAATGCTAATTCCAGGCCCTGGAAAAGTTATGGAAAACAATATTTTCCCTAAAGTTTTGGAAAAGTCATGGAAATGTAACCAAAATTGCATCAAATATAAGGTATATGTTATCTAATCGCCAAAATAGTAATACTATAACGATAATAAATACTGTATCGTATAGTAATGAAATGCAAAATGGCATTTAACTGTCGAGGTATTTTGCTGGTGAGAGATTTTAGTTGCTTTAGCGTGTAGAAGCTAGTAAGCCTACTATTTGATTTGTTTTAGACACAACATCTTTCATATGCAGACCTTATTTTCCTGTTCCATGTTAAAATAAACCATTTTCAGTGGTAAGCTGAGAAAGAGTAATGTTTTCGGTCATGGAAAATTAGGTAAAGGTCATGGAGAAGTCATGGAAAATCATTGGTGAACAAGTGTATGAACCCTGTAATGATTTACCTGCTGACTAACAAAAACAAAAAATACATGTGCAGTTAAATAAGTGATTCTAACTTTTACCATTTGCTTTAACACTATTAATCTTCAGTTGATAATCATCCATATCATACTAACTTCAAGGCTTTACTTTAAATGTATAAGTGTTAAAAGCTTTCATATCAATTAAAATATGATTACATATTTGTTCTGAAATAATTCAGTCCTGATGAACAAAGAGGTGTCATCAGTCCCTGATAGAAACCCCATGGTTCATCCTTCAGAATAATCCCTTTAACACAGTGTGCCGTTTGACTTTTGGATTTGTTTGACAACCTGCACTAACTTTCACCAAAGGCCCATTTTAGCTCGTGGGGAGCACTTTGTTAGTTTGCTCTTTTTCTCCCCACCATACACACACATTAACACACATGCTGATGTACTGCTTTCTCACCCTCTCTCCCCCCACTGCCCCCATGGCTCTCAGCGCGAGCTCAGCGTCAGGTAGAGTGGCCTTTATCCTGTCTATCGTTCTCTCCTCACCATCTGTCCGTTCCCCCAGCTTCTTACGGGGAGAGAGGAAAAGAGGCCAGCTAAACCAACCTCTAGCTTCCACTGATCTGCTGGCTGCCATGGCACCTCACCATGTGGCGCTGTCTTATCTCTACAGCAAATACCACTAATTGGAGATCAGTCACAAGAGCGTGAGACCATGCCAACATATTGTTGTCCACCCTGACTTACTATAATAACTACTTTAAAACCGCTGCCAACATTACACTTAGATCAAAGGATGTGGTGTGGTGCAGCCAGCATTTCATGTCAAGCAGTTGGTTTTTCTTCTCTCTACCTTTTTTAGAGAAATGACAACTTACACTCTTCCTGCCTGCTGTGTCTAAAAATACACCAATGAGTCAAGTCACTGACCCCTCCTCTCAGTGGCAGCACGAATAGGAGAGAAAGACTATAACAGAAGAGAGCGAGAGAGAGGCAGCTCTTGCTACATCTATTGTTGACTGTCACATACCTCAGCCACACAGAAAGTTTCCAATACCCTGCTACAAAGCGCTGAGTTTTTCCATTGAATGTCGGCCACAGTATCTGAGACAGAGAGAGAGAGAGAGAGAGAGGAAGTGAGCTTGGTGCCTGTCTTTAGACACAGGATGTGCCGGGGCCTGTGAGCTGAAATACCAACCTTTACTGTTCTACACGGTAAAAGAGTGACAGCCGCAAGACAGCTCGTGCACCTCCCACGCAGCAATTGATGCACGTCTATAGATATCAAAATCTGATCAAAAATGTATTTTTCCACAGAATCTGTAAATAGCTTTCAAAGCATGTCCCGTTGCTTAAATCATCAGATATTATTTATCTTAAAATGGGATAGTCGTAAGCACATCTGACAATGTAAAGCTTCAGCTGTCACACTTTTCACTGCGTGTGATAATCCCTCCATCTCTCCATCCACCTGATGTTGTCTCTTCTCATGTTTTCCCCCTTTCTGTTTTTTTTTTTTGTCTTTATGTCCCGTGTTGTGATTGTTGTGTTTCGTCGAAAAAACTCCCTATAGAGGAAACTCCGCTGGGATATGTGAGCAGATTTGCTATGATTTCTCTTTTCTTTGCATCTGGCTAGTGTGTACTCGGTGACATAGTGGATACTGTCATGTCAACATGACTGCATCACTGAGGATTTGTAACAGTGTGTTGCTCTAGAGCCAGGGTAGACCCAGCTAACTACATATTCAAACCTAATGTTAGTGTGTGGAGTCTGAGGGAACTATTACAATAGTAGAGACCTATTGTGCAAAATGTCCATCATGCATTTATTCATTATACACAGTGACATTTCCCTCCATATACATTATGTTCATTTAACAACTGATCAGTTTCAATTTATTTTCCATTATCACGGCCTCTGCTGTTGTAATTTCCCACAGAAATACTCAGGCGCTGTGAGCTTTGCAGTTTTGTGCTTCTGCATTTTCCCCAAGCAATCCTATAAAGTGGTTACACAGTACCATTATCTCTACTCTAACTACTCCTCAGAAGTTCTTTGTGATATACTTTGTTTTCTGCATGTACTTACACGTCGGTGTGGGTTTGTTTGTTTTCTGAATGTGCATACAGTACGTGTGTGCACGCTTGGGTGTAAACCTGCACACTTCATTGTAATTATGTGCATTGTATTCATGCTTCTGTCCCTCTTTCCCCGCACCACCCCCGCTCTACTATTTGTTGCCGTGGTTACAGAGCAGCACTGGCTTCTGCACACCAGGCCCAACCCCTCCCCCAGACCCTCAGTGTTCTGGACAGCACACCCCAGGTTAAGGGCATGCACACCATCATCAGGTATGAGCTAAGAAATCAACATCTGTTTCCATTAAAGGAGAAAAAAAACGCTTGTGTACAAAAGCTGCCATCATCATAAATCCTGTACCGTTCTTTTGTTCATGACCACATTTAGAAACAAGGAAACCAGCCGCGATGAGTTCATCTTCTACTCCAAGAGGCTGATGCGTCTGCTGATTGAGCGAGCACTCTCCTTCCTCCCCTCGCAGGTGATAAACACCTATTTATACTGTTAATTATGTATGGGGCTGCACGAAGGTGCTTTAATCTTTTGTATGAAGCAGGAGATTATTGACTATGAACCATTAGATATCTGGGCGTAGATGGAGACTGGAGAAAGAAAGGGTCATATTGCCAATGGGTAGGAAGAAGCTGACAAAGCAGCAGAGTCACATACAGTATAATGTGTGGCCTTGAAATGGTGAAAGAGAAACGCAAATGGGAGCTGAATGGAAAAAGAGTAAGTGCTTGTATTTGCTAAAAAGAGAGTCGGATGGAAACGTATTGGGTCACCACAATAGAAAGTTTCCATACCTTAACCATAAGATACAGCTTAACACACATGACTGAAATTCGAAAATGAAATGATTGACTTCTAAAGAACACTACAGTGCTGTGATCAGCATTGTACTCACACTGTTTTTATATTATCTCAGGTCCACTTAGTGCAGACCCCCCAGGGAGAGGATTATGAAGGCAGGACTTTTGACGGGAGGAGGGTGAGTGAACTCCATTTACTTCCTGACGACCTTTTTTAATTTTAAGGACCATTGAAAAGAGTTTGATGCAATTAACCTCTGTTTAAATTATTATTATTATTTTTCTTTCCATTTGTTTTTCTTTAGATTACAGGCGTGTCCATCCTGCGCGCCGGGGAGACCATGGAGCCTGCTCTGAGGGCGGTGTGCAAAGATGTCCGCATCGGCAAAATCCTCATCCAAACCAACCAGGACACAGGAGAACCAGAGGTACAGATTCAAAATATGCAATTTGTGTGAAACATTTTGCATTAACTTCACTTTAATCTACTTTTATTGTCCTTTTTCACATATGGAAACTTTAAAAAAAAAAAAAACATGTACAAATTCTTTAACAATATTTTACAATGAGTTTCTTGCAATTAGTCATGGTCCTGTTGTTCCATCCTACTTTTTGCTCATATCATATATCAAGATGTAGCTACAGGATAGTACTTATCATTTAAATACATGTTAGTTTGAACCCACTTCCTGTTAAATATTTTCAGCTTCATTACCTGCGTCTACCAAAAGAAATCAGTGAAGACCACGTGATCCTGATGGACTGCACTGTGTCCACGGGAGCTGCTGCCATGATGGCTGTGCGAGTCCTCCTGGTGGGTGCGCCTGATTGGTCACAAGTCTATGCTGCATGCAATGAATCGCTTCCCTCATGTATTCTTTATTCACGTGTGTGTGTGTTTTCATTCCCAGGACCATGACGTTCAGGAGAACAAGATCCTGCTCGTGTCCTTGCTAATGGCAGAGATGGGAGTCCATTCGGTGGCGTACGCATTCCCACAGGTCAAAATCATCACCACTGCTGTCGACAAGAAAGTCAACGACCTCTTCCACATCATACCTGGCATTGGTGAGTAATGTTGAAATGAAGATATGCTGTTATTGCATTATATTTACCGTCTTTCTCCGCATTATCAATACTTGATGTCAATTATATTTCAATTAACGCTGATGTTTTCTCTGTTGTAGGAAACTTTGGGGATCGATACTTTGGAACAGATGCACCCCCTGACTGGAGCGACGACGAGATGGATGAGCCCAGTTATTGATTGCATTTTTAGCAGTGTACTAAGTTATTAGGTGATTCAGAGCCGTGCATTTCGGAGGACAGTATGAGGACGTACCCTTTGCTGCTGTTGGGCTGTAACGTGTCCTCCAAACCAAACCGGGAGCCCTGACAAATCAACTGAAACAGAACAAAACATTGCTTGTCACCTTGTTTGAATTTTAAAGTATATTATTTTATCTCATGTAAATGCTGTTGTGAAAAGTTGAGTTATTTTTACATGTACATTTAGTCCAAATATTTTATTTTACTTTTTAAATTAATGCAATATCTGAAACTTGCTGGCATGTTGCTTCGACAATAAATCTTTAGCCTTAAGCCGTGTACTGTGTAGACGACACTGAATGTGAATTTGCACGTGCCGTAAAAGGAAAAGACATCAAGCTTTTAAGGTTATTTTAAACCATATTCCTCACAACTTTCTCAAAAGTAAAATCGGAACATGAACTTGTGTTGCTCAACTTCCATCGCCGTAGGCACTTTCTGAAGACCATTCGATCGAAACAATGCGTGGGTGTAGCCGTCTTTCTTTCAGCTCTCTGGTTCACACTTTTTCCACTTTGTGAATGCTGACCCAACCAGTTAGGTTAGAAAAGCCTTTTTCAGTTTACAGCCAAAAGTATGCACATGTGGTGTATATTTATGCAGCATATCATTCATTTACATATTTCTATGTATAGACCTGACCAGTCAGCAGGCAAGTTATGTATCTGATATTTATACTTAGTATTGAAATGAATGTGGTCGGTCTGTTAAAGTTGGTGCCCCTTTATCTTTTTTGAAATGTTTGCCAGGGTTTGGTCACACCCCACAATGTTGGTTCATTTGGTTATTTGAACTGTTGCAATGAGAAATCGGAAGAAGAGGAATGTTGAATATCATTTTGAAATTGAAATGTAGTTTCATTAATAGGATCTTCAACAAGTTCACAATTAATTATAATTATGTATTGCATCATTTGTTTACAAAAAAATCATTATATAGGCCTTTATATACTGTATGATAATTTAAAAAGCTATTTATTTTTACTTTTTCTTTTTACATTTATTTGACAAAAACAACTGTACACCCTTAAGGGGAACAAAATACTAACGTGAACATGCTACTTGTAGCCACGTTAGCTATAAAAGCACTGTTACTACTGTCGGCGGTTACTGCTGAATACAACCGTTAATGAGTCATTGAACTGAACATTCATCCATTGTGTTTTGACTGCGTGCTGTTATGTGTTTACTGCTGCTGCATGTTTTTATATGTTAAATAAAAGTGCAGTTTAGCTTTTCAAATGGCTCAACGTGTATTATTTAATTGATGTCATATTTTCAACAAGCTCAACCCAGTTAAAGTCTTTAGTGTCAGTTAAACCCATGAGGTCAGGGTTATTAAAACACACATAGCACTAAGCGTAAACCTCTAACCTCTATATTGTTTCCCTTCATCAAACATTGTAAGACCTTTACTTGAAAATGAACAGGAAGGATATTGTGGTTGTCCTCTTCTCATGGAAAGGAACCTTGATATCTCCCATCACTTTCCATAATTATCACTCTGACAGCTGTCAAGACGGCCGCCACGGTAACGTTTGATTGACACACATTTGATGAGGCTGATGGACAATTACAAAGCAGCAGCCTATTAGGCGGATATTGACCCACAAGAGGCAGCTTTCTTCACAGGAAGGGGGAGTGAGGATGACACTCAAAAGACGTGCAAGATCTAAATGTATCAGGAAGCTCGGCAGAAGCATTTTTATTCATGTGCTCTAGTTGAATCCAGAATTAAATATGCAGCTGTCTTACAACTGAAAGCTTTTATTGTCTTGTTATTAATTGTTTAATGTTCTTCAACATTTAAAATGGCTGACTTCTGATGAAAATATAATATCCAGTTACATTAAGGCAAGGCACATTTATTTATACAGCACCTTTCAACACAAGCAAATCAAAGTAAAGATGTAGTGCGGTGTAAACATGTTATAAAGTGATCATTTAAAGCGTAAAAATTAGCTGTCTATTTAAACCTTTGTTGGCGGCTATTCATTTTTCAGTCACAATATGTATCACTCCCTCTTCACCCAAGCATAATATTTATACTTGCCATTGTTTGGTGACATTCCTTAAATACTATTATAATTCAATGCATATGTACTTTATTTCTTAATGTCAAACTGCATGAAAACATCCTATTTGGTCCTTTGAGTGGAGATGTCAGTGGAAAGTTTACCACCAGCACTGCACTAACAAACAGGAAGGTGGTGTGTGTGTGTGTGTGTGTGTGTGTGTGTGTGTGTGTGTGTGTGTGTGTGTGTGTGTGTGTGTGTGTGTGTGTGTGTGTGTGTGTGTGTGTGTGTGTGTGTGTGTGTATAATTGTGTGAGTTGCATCCTTATTCGTAGTTCAGAACATGATGAGGTCACAGCTTAGTGAGGGCAGCAGGAGTGGCCTTTTTTCAGCTCAACAACCTGCTTCTTTTTCATCCTCCCTTCAGTAGCTTGGCTCCAGGTTGATCTGCTCTCTTCCTGTGCGCCTTCTTTTGCTCTTGACTTTTCAAAGATGAAGATTGTTTCCCTGTCTGCCTTCACTGGGTCCGAGGAGTCAGAGGGTCTGCCATGTGGGTAAGAAGTACACAGAGGAAGCTCTTAGAGAGAAGGAGACTTCACAAACTTGCCACAATCCTCCATCATTGTGTTGATTGGTGCGAGATGAAAGGGAGGAAACATAAAACATAACTTTGTATTTATGGTTGCTATTTGCTTGGTTAATGTGCTATCTGGCAGAGAGTGTGTCTAGATTGTTAATGTTGAAGTGATGGTGTGAGAAGGCCAACACAGCAGTGGCTTAATGCAGAGAGTTGAGGATGAATAATTCAGACGGTGGATTTCTGAATCATGAGAGGAGGGTTTGGATTAGTCTGCTGAAAAGGGTAAAGTATTGTCTCTCCATTTCTCCCCTTTCACTCTCGCTTTATCGGTGTGTTTGTGTTCTCCTGTGCTCTCCATCTGCATAGTTTATCATGAGAGTTACATTTCTAAGAGACGGGGCTATCCTCATAAAGTCAGATCAGGGTGATTTAGATGTTTTTAGTATAAGAGGCAGTGTGTGCATTAGGCTGCGTTCGAGGAGTGTTTAATTGCTCACTGAGTGGTTTCAGTGCATTAGCTAACAACAGAGAGCCAGATGTGGTGTTAACTGTTATATTTTTGAATGAGAGCATTTACACACAGCCTTTCATGAATTGCATTGTTGAGTTCATAAGGTTAAACCTAATATTTTGAAGTTAGATTACATTTTAGACTGGGAACAACACCTGTATCCTTCTTTGAAGATAAACGGGATAAATGTTTTACAGTATAATGTGGAATTATAAAACCAAAATTAACTAGAATATTTCAGTTGTTGCTTTAAGTAATGTTTTTTAAATAGTATTTTTTACTTTTTTTTTGTATCTAATTGGGTGAATTTTTTTTTCTGCCGCCAAAATCCTAACATTCAAAAACAGTCTATTTTGGTCACAAACATCACAAACCTACAATCCAGCTTATTTTAGGAGATACTGTTGTTATATTTAAGATAATTAGTTAAAACTATACTAGTGCGACTAACACTATTATGTTAATGTGATTTCTTTCTTTTTATAAAGTTGTGTTTGTTCAAATAAATTGTATTGCATAAATTACCCAGAAGACCACAATTATGTCAAATATACATATGTTACATATTTTTAATCAAGTTATTTTGTTTTTGTCGAAGGAGTTGCGCTCAGTGTGGACACTGTGTGCTGAGGCTCGTGGAGCCCAAAGCCCGCTTTAATTCTTGAGTAGTTCTTCGAGGACTGTCCTACCTGAGAATGGTGATTTCAGGCTCAATCTCAGGTTCGTCAGCCCATGAAAAGCTAACTCACCCCAGCAGATTAGGACGAGAAACACCAAAAAAGAAAATCTGCCAGGACTGTGATGATATGCATTCTGTTATAAAATAAGCAAAGATCTAAACATCAGATAAACAACCTGATTAATAATTAGTTTACTGTGTAATTTCTGAATATTGCATTCAATATCTAAAACTTGCCTGACTTTATTGTCAAAATATACCTTTCCGGTCCCTCTAATATATCGAATGAAATCAAATAATGCATATCTAAACAATGTAGCAAAAATAATTTCTTCCACTTAATACAAATGGCAATAATATATTGAAATGGCCTTTGAAAGGGGCTCTTATCCTCACACTGACTTCCCCAGGTAAAATATTAACACACAGCAGCAACAGTTCCCCGAACATATCCCCAGTAGAGGGAGCAGTGTACACACTAACCAGAGAGCACAGGCTGTCACTGATGTGAACATTACTTTAGTTATTTTTTATTTGATTTCAAAGCTAAATCACCTCAATCAACCATTCAAGGATTTTTTTTTAAATGTCTTCATGAATGGCTACATAATTACTGAAAATGACTGAAAGAAGGATGGTGAAGGTCACCTCACAAGCTGCTTTCACATCGTAACGACACGAGGACACAGCTGAAATCTGTTATTTTAAAACACGAGTTATATTTTATTGTATGTACCCACGTTTTATGATATATTTAACCTTGTTAACATTGTTATTGGATCCTACTTAAGAATAAAGCTGGTAATTCAGTCTGCTATTATTATTATTATTATCTTATTTGACATCTGCAAAACAAATCATTTCTGATCACAATTTGTCAGACTAGAATAAATGATGAATGCCAAATAAAATACCAAATATAGGATGAGAAAGTATTTCTATGTACTTATATTTTAAGTACCTTCATATTTCCGTACTGATGAGACGTGTTAGTGAATAGGAAAGACAGGCTATCGGATATTATAATCCTTTAACTGCTTTATTACCAACTATTTTGACGAACGAATACTAAAGAAAAACGCATTATCATGGAGAGATACAGTCAATGGATATTTGATTTGGTTCAAGAAACAAATTTCAATATTTGACTTGTATCCAGATGTGTATGTGTGCAGTGCAGCTATTATTTATACATCATTGTTGTGCATAGATTGTCCGTGCCGAAAAATATAAAAGCTTAAATAAATGTTAAAGAATCTGAGAATTTCTATTTCTGCCAGTTAGTAACGCAAATGTAATTCAACATGTGCTTAATCATCCTGCATAAAACACAACCCTAACCCTAAAATGTAATGAAACACAATAATTATTGTCGGGTATCTTTTCTCAAAACTATCCAAAAATAGTACTGTCAGATGCACCGTGGTATTTGCAGCATCTCGCAACACTTCAGTTTTCTTTTTTTCTCTGAAAGCCGACTTCTAGATTGTTCTGGTCGCTGTCAGCCTGGGAGATTCATTCACTTTGTGTCTTTGCTTTATGAACTGTTTATTAGAATAAAAAAAGTGTGTGAAAATAATTTACAAAGCGGCATTCAACTTTAGGAAGCCCACTATCCTTTGTTTTTCAGGAGAAAACCTTTCAGGAGAATATGAGGCTAGCTCTTTTTCACATTATGACCTCTCACTTAGATGTATGTATAAATCAAACGTTAAACTCACAGGTGTCAAATTTTATTTTTTAATTGAGTATGATAACGTTTGCCGTTCTGTTTCCTACTAACTATCAATGCAATGTTTCCATACCAGATAATAAGAGCGCTTCACTGTTTCCGTATTATGTTACTCCAGAAGCATGTTATATTTAGACATGTCAAAATCATACAGTTAATGATCCAACTTTTGCGTCTCTGACAATGTTTATTTTTTATCCAACAGAGCAAAGTTGAATAGAGGGCATATAATACTTTTTTGTAGAGTGTGAAAATGTTTTATGCGCCTTAAAAACAAACATGTGCTTTGGGTTTATTAATGTACCACAATGTCCGCCATTGGTTTATTGGCCCATGTTGGTTTTCAGGTATTGTTTTAACTCAAAGGTCTTTATGAAAAGGGTCTAAAGAGACAGCAGGTGCACCCTGTCACACCGCAAATGAAGTGTCGCTACCGTTGTTATTTTTGTTTCCCTACTATGAACCCACATTATCTTTTATTCTGGTTTGCAGTAATCAAATGAAAGCAACTTGGTTCAATGTAAACGTATTCACAGTAGCTTTCTGTCACTGCATGCAAACTGATTTAACAAGCACTAGGAAATGGGTCCTGTAGAAAATGGACAAGAGGAGTGTGTGACCCCGGTGACCTTTCTTTCATCGGGGTTAAGGGTCAAATTGGGATCCAGCTCTCTGTGGAGAGATTAAACCCGGTCACCAAGGTAACATAATGGGCAACCTGGATGACCA